GACAAGTCAGTTATTAATGTTATTTTCATTAAAGTTTAGCATGTTACTATATTAAAAGATTTGACACAGATGAATTTGTGGTTTTGCATAAACATGATGCTGGTATACCCATCTGTGGCATTTAGCACTGGAGCAAAGCAACTTTCCTAATAGTCACAGCTTGTGTCTCAGTCAAAATCATGTCACAGCATCTTTTTCCTGTTCTTGCTCTTCTTTGTGATGTTGGCATATATTTTAGGAATGTACTTAAAACATATGAATAATTTTATTATAGAAGAGTCCTAAGTATGTATACTGTGCTTTCCTTAAGTAAATCTTTTCTCATATACCTCTAATTTTCTACCAGATAAAGTCCAGACCCTCAAACCTGTAATTTAGAATACTCCATAAGTCCCTCCCCCTTTTTTTTTTTAACAGCCTTATTGGGATAGAATTCATATTCTATGTAGTTCACCCATTTACAGTGTACAGTTCAGTAGGTTTTAGTATATTCACAGCATTATGCAACCATCACCACAGTCAATTTTAGAATATTTCTTCACCCCAAAGCAATTACTCCTCACTTCCTAACCCTCTAAGCCTTTGGGAATCACTCATCTGCTTTCCGACTCTATGGATTTGCCTATTCTGGACATGCCTTTAAATGGAGTCATATAATATTTAGCCATTTGTGACTGCCTTCTTTCACTTAGCATAATGTTTTCAAGGCTCATCCATGTTGTAGCATGTATTGGTATTTTATTCTTTTTTATTGCAGAATAGTATTCCATTTTAGGGATATAACACATTTTGTTTATCCATTCATCAATTGATGGACATTTTGGGTTGTTTCCACTTAATCCTTTACTTTTTGAAGCAGCTTTGCTGGCCTCTTCACTGTTATTCAGACACATTATGTTCATCCTCGATTCTGCTTTTCCCCATCCTGGAATAATACCTTTTTTTTTTTTTAGAGACAGGGGTCTTGTGCTGTTATGCAGGCTGGAGTGCAGTGGCATGATCATAGCTCCCTTCAGCCTTGAACTCCTGGGCTCAAGCAGTCTTCTCACCTTAGCTTCCCAAATAGCTGGGACTCCATGCACGCACCACCATGCCCAGCTAATTTTGGAATACTCTTTGATTATACAGCTATCCAGCATTTACCATCCCCAGAATCCAGCTGTAATTTTGTGTCTTCCATAACTGCTGAAACCCCGTGGGGCCCAGGTTTCTCTGAATTCCCAGATTACCTACTTGGCGGCTGCATCCCTCAGCTGGCAATTCATAACTGCTTGACATTCCTTAACTTGTGTGTGTTTGTGTATAATTTTTTTCTTTGTTGTGATATAAATGTATACCGCTTAATGGAATGAAGCATATTTAAGATGACCAGAATGCCAGATGAATTAAGCAACTTCTAATATTTTCACATAGTGGGCAATAGGATCAGATAGACTTATGCTATATCCAATTCTACCATTTATTATCTGTGTGACCATGGACAAGTTACTATGGTTTTCAAGCCCTGGTTTTCTCATCTGTAAAATGGA